CCGGCCCTCAATGGCCTAGCTGGAAATCCAGCCCAGGCCATAGGGATACATTTGGATGCTTTTTTGGTCCCGGAACAAACTGTTCTGGCCTGGACATTATCCAGACATAATAAAGATGACTACACCAATCAAATGTGTATGAAAAGAAAATATCTTTTTAGCCACCTAAAATCCTTTACTCTGACATGCATGAACATTGCCATATATAATAATGGATTGGCAGAAAATCTTCAACTAGGACAAAATACATTTCTTCATGTCTCCTCTGTGTCCTTTTTGGAATAGTTCCACTCGCCTTTTATGTTGTTGGCAGTTCTAAAATGGTGGATTTCCCCTGTATAAGCTGCCGGTCCGTGTCCCCCCTCCCTACGCGGCCACCCCTCCAGCTGTCACGCTGGTCCCGGGCTCCGCTGTGCCTGGTGCAAGCCCGGGACCAGCATAGTTTCTCTCTGACGGGATCAGAGGGAGATCGGTACTAGGGTTGCCACCTGTCCGGGATTCACCCGGACAGTTCGGGTTTTGAATGCTGTGTTCGGGTTTTATGGCATCAGAAACCTGGACACCAGATGTCAAGCAGACAGGGACAACCAAAATTAAGATAGGGGCTACTGGCCCCCCACTGAAAACAGTTTCAACTGTGATATTTACATATGAATGGGCGGCATTATGTACATATGAATAAGCTACGACTTATTCTCCCCAAAAAATGTCTGAGCGTCGCTAGAGTGTTCGGGTTTGGCTTGAAGAAAAGGTGGCAACCCTAATCTGTACACAATCTCCCCCCGGTCCCCTTTCAGAATGCGGAAGTGATGTATATTAAATCACTTCCGCTTCAGACGCTAATTTATATAGTGCCAACAGTTTGCACAGAGCTTTGCAATATAAGGAAGACATTACAATTACAATACAATTCAAGACAAGATGGTAAGGAGTGCCCTGACCCTGAGGACTTACAGTCTAAAAGATCTCTGCTTAGTCAGCTTCTTTGGGGGTCCCTGATGTCTCCATAAAGAGTGCCTGTCACATCCTCTTTGCTATCACATAGTGGGTTTTCTTAGCCCCCTATGTGATAGCAATAAAAGTTAAGTGAAAAAAAAATAGGAAAAAAAAATTTACGTTTCCAAAAAAAATAAATTTAAAGTTACATGAAAAAGAATTTGAAAAAACACACACACTTTTTTTAACCCCTTAGTGACTGACGACGTACAGTGTACGTCGCCAGCATCGGGGGAGTCCCGGCGACTTTTGCCGCCGGGACTCTGTTTAAACTTGTAGAGCCGACTGTCGGCTTTACAACAGAAGCGATCCTGGCGACTTACCTGTCGCCAGATCGCTTCTGTGTCCCGAAGAAGGGGCCAATATCACTTTAAGAACTTATCGTAATTAAAATAAGGTTTCGTTTTGTTGCCAGTTTAAACACCTAAAAGGTGCTCAGCAAAGTTCTTCCCCTCTTCCACAGGACAGCCACGGCTCACATTACATATTCTTGTTGTGCAGAAGATGAAAGGGTAAGAGGGAAATCTGGAATCACTGACTCTGCTCTGTGTATTTACTAGTTAGGAAGTAAACGTTAAGTCTGACACAGGAACTGCAATCAGATGAATGACGCAAACTCATAAAACAGGAGAAATCCACAAAACATCTGGCAGAGTTTTACAAACTTGATCTAACTGTGAATTGCCTCCCCCATCCCACCTCCCAGTCTCCTCTGTTTGTTGTCTGGCAAAGCAGTACTGGACACAAAGAGGATTATACAAAATAAAGACTCGGTCTTACTCCATTGCATTATTCACAATTAAATCAGGTTTTACATCTAAAACAATAATGAAGATTGAGAATACAATGGCTACAGAGATTTCCTGAGCACGGCTTCATTTTACATAATTGTATCTCTGCAAGAGCAAGCCAGTAATTAACTCTTTAGCGTGCAGCTGCCGCAGGGCTCCAATAAGGACTGTAGTAAACATTCCTGCGTTCTAGCATCTGGCTCAATTAAAATGACATGTATTTGATATATCAGATGGAATAAATACATTTAGATAAAGACTAAATGACAAATGTATAACAATCACAGGGGAACTTCTAAGCCTTGGTTCACACCTAGGAGTTTTTGAGCAGTAGGAAAATGCCCAACAGAAGAAATTCCATGATTTTCAATGGCCCTGGTTCACACCTGAGCAGAAAAACGCCAGCAGGAAAAAAGCCAAACGCCGGAAAAGGTACATGAGCTTCTATGGGCAGTTGAAAGCACATTTTTGCCCCAAAGACTTCATTGGAAATGTCCAAAACGCACAGCAGAAGCATGTTGCACATTTTCGTGAGCGTTTTTGCGCGTTCTTCCATTGCCCACAATGTTTTATAAATGGTCAGTCAAAACGCGCGTCTTCATGCACCCGCATCAAAATGTACACAACGTAAAAATAACCACATGCTGCACACACGCAAAAACGGTGCCGCCTAGGCGTGAATCAGGCTTTAGGATATGAAGATGACAAGTTTCCTGGTACGCGTCCTTGTATGTAGCACAGAGGAGTCCTCACTTCCTAAAACCTCATGGTGCCTTGAAGTACATTGCTACTTGCAGTTCCTTGCAGACTGAAGTCGAACTATAGACTGGTTCTCATAGAGAATCATTACATTTTATGGTCATAACACAATACCAAGTTTCACCAGCAGGTTGCACCTACAGGAAACTCTGGGAAATGAGCTTGGCTAACAATCAAATAAAAAAAGAGAAAATTGAAGCCTATAAATCAATTTAAAAACATGATATGCAAAATAGAAAAATCACCCACTCTTTACCCATACTAGCCCACAGAAAGGATCTAGTAAACAAGTTTTCCAATGAAAAAAATGAAGTCTTGAGCCAGGTAAACAAGTTTCTATTTTTTTTCGTTCAATTCGCGGGCTGAACGAAAGCGACCGCAGTCAGAATACCTAAAAGGGAGATCGGAGCTAATTGACTGTTAGCTCCAACCGGCTCCTTCGATCAGCTGAACGAGGGATGCTAGGCGGAAGCGCACCCACTGTGCGAACTTCGGCCGGTTCATCGGGAACTGGCCAAGATTAATTCCATGTGTACCATACTTCAGTTGCAAACATTTGAAAGTACACATGGAATCTGCATATCATGTTAAGTACCTCTGCACTGCTTTTAATCTATTGAGGTAAAAGGACACAAAGCATTTCATTAATCCAGACCATGCTTGCTTAAAGATTACCCCATTCCCCTCTATGGTGCAACAACACATGACAAATCTAAACTTACACTTGACAGCAAAAAAGCACTCGTGTGCGCACCACACACAGCACATACCACAAATGCCAGTTTCTCAATCAGTCCAACTCAATGTACTTATAGACATAAGGGACATAAACAAGGAATTCACCATTTTACGAGTAATTTCACTCTATTTTTTTTAAATAGCAAAAATGACACATCACAACAAAAGAATGTAGAGTACCATTGCTGACCACCTTCTGAAATTAATAGAAGCTGGGTTGCTGAACTGATCCTCTGGCTACAAACACTTGTTTGTAGGGATGCACAGATACTTTGAGTACCAGTGCAGATACTTGGTATTTTCATGAGAACTACCAGGGTTGCAGCGGTTGCAGCTGGGACCTGGCTCTGGCGCTCCACCACTGTTCTGAAATCATTAGTCTGTATTGTTTTAGAAAAACTGTCACATGACAACAAAAATTTATCAGTACTCGTACTTGTAAGTACTCGGCAAGTACCAGTACTCGTACTCGCAAAACTGGTATCTGTGCATCCCTTTATTTATATTTATAAAAACAAAATCGTACATTAAAACAGAGATGCACAAATCCCAGGAGCTCCGTGTGCTCCTTACAAATGACAGCTGCCTCCTAATTTTTGAATTTTTCTCTAGTCTAGTCTTGGAGCTCAAAAGTATGGGTACATGTACTTGTACCGAGTACTGTACTTGGTAGCTGTGCAACCCTACTTGTTTGCATATTCTTAAAAAGCATTAAAAGATTTAAAACAAGCCATCATGGACCTTTCCAGCTGCTTGTAGTGTGAAGTTATTCATTCTAAAGATCCTCAGAGATCACAACAATGTCCATTTCAGTTGATTTCTAACATCTTAGCCACACCTGCTGTGTGTTTATATGAGAGTGTTGGGAGGCTGCCAAAGCTTTCCAGCAATAGAAAGGGGAAATATGATTTCCCCACAACAGGAGGGTCTTCAAACTGTTGCCAATAGGGTTTCCTAAACTCTATGAGGTGCACTTCAGAACCCTATGATGAGCAGTCCTGAATCCTAAGAGGGGAGCTCCTCAGTGCTATGACAGACAGTCATGAGCCCTATAGAGGAGAAGTTATGAACCCTATGAAGGGCACCCCTGAGCCCTGTGAGAGGTAGTCCTGCTGTGTTATCTAAACCGGGTACAAAGCATTTAGAAAAAAAAAACCAGAAAGTCCTTCGGATATGCTTTGTGCTGTGGTCAGCAAACCATGTTTGGCCTGCCACTCATGGGCTCCAATTAACCCTATAAGCAGCTGGTGGACACTGTTGTAACTGTTCTAAGTGCACCCAATGTGCGCAAAATAACAGCACTCTCATACATGGCAATGTATTTGAACCTTAACAGCTCTAAAGTTAACAACGCAAATAATATAAACATATACGTATTTGTAGATATACACACACATTCACTAGGTTCTTAAAATGTTTCTGGGCATGGTGCAGTTTTTTGTCACATGATTCAACGAGCCATTCCTCTCCTAAAATGAGTGAGAAAAAAACTTGTTGTGGGTGAAGGAGAGGATGGCAAATCATGGAATTCATTGTAGTTTATTCAGGCTCAGATTCCGAGTTCAAGCAGGAGGACATTGGCACCAAATGATTAGTAAATAATTCTTAGAGTGTGGCCAGCCAAAGACAGTTTAAGGACAAATAAAACCAGTTATTGTCAAAGTTAATTCCATTAGTTAAGAGAGATAATTCAATGTTGAAGATAAAAAATCCCAATCAGGGTACAGCAGATTCACCCACTGGCTTATTAAACTTCCAGGGGCAAAATCTATCTGCTGCCTCCTACTCATTTGAGGTCTTAAATGTTCTTCCCCATCTATTGGTGTTCAACCTCTTCCCTTCTGCATTCTCCGTTATATTAATTTAAAATCCATCTTGTACACTGGCAAACCCCTTATAGTGGCCATTGCAGATAAGAAGGTTTGGGGTCTCCTACCAAGTCAAAGAAAAACATACATAAAACAGCCAGTCACAAGCCCCGAAACTGAAATATGCATTACAAATAGATGGACTCCATAAAAGAAAAAGTTTCCATTGCAAAGCTCTGCTCCCAAAAATGCTATTTGCAGAATAGAGCACAGAACAAGAATGTTTATAAGGACTTTTCTCTGACTTTCTTTATACTTTTTCCAGGTCAGGGACTCAAATAGTCCCAAAGCCAGACAGTCATCTGAACAGCCAGCTATCATTTTCAGAAGGAGATCAGCAATGGCAGTTCACAGATTTCTCTTGTAACAGGTCTATACTTTAGGATAAGCACAAGTAAGCAAAGAGAGCAATACATGACATCATGGTATGACAGGTGCTGAAAATACATGTTTCTACAGAAGTCGAGATCCTAATCTTTTTTTTGATCATATAGATGTTTATTGAAATTGAAAAAGAGAATACAGAGGTATACATAGTCAACAAAAATCATTTTCCAAAAGGGTAAACACATGAAGGAAACTGATATCACCATGGACAGGCAGTCACAATACTGTTACACAAGAATGGTGATGGCAAGAGACAGGTTACACATGACATAGCGCTCTAGTTGTTGTAGGTTTCCATCAGTCTATGGGACTCGACTAAAGACGGGAAAAGGGTCTATTAATATAGGACTGGCGAGGTCTTTGTCGTGAAACCCGTTTTGGGCACAATTGGGGATGAAGTCCGAAACATACTATACTGGGAGGTCCCAGACTGTAGCAGAGTAAAAATCAAGTACGGTAGATGACATATATATAGCGATGGCATTGGAATAGTATACAACTTAGGTAACCTTGTTTATCAAGGAGTGATATCGCATAAGACAGACGACACAACAGGAGAGAAGGTTGGGGAGGGGGAAGGCAGAAGAGATCTAGAATTAGGGAAGAAAAAGAGAGAGGAGCTGGACTGCACGCGGGAGTGGGCGCACCATCCCCTTAATGAGGGGGTAAGAAGAAAAAAATTCAGTTTAGATGGTGAGAAGGCGGTGAGGAGCAGCAGAGTCAAAATATTTACAGATCCACGGGGACCAAATAGCTTCCAATTTGCACATAGTGTTGTTGAGTTGTGCGTTTTTCATGGGACATTATCCAGTGCACATGGTTTATTGCACTACAGGTGTGAAGGGACTGCCAGTTCTTTGCTATTTCTCTCTTAGCGGAAGTCAAAACGTGCATTGCTAGCCTAAAAGTTTTGCCAGAGAGGCCATCCGGTTTACAGTTAAGGAGGGCCATATGCGGGTCCTTGGTTATCGTTTCTGACAGTAATGAAGATAAGAGGTTGAAGATATCATCCCAAAAGTTGAAGATCCTAATCATTTTAGGAATCATGCAAGTTAACTTGTTACATGATGTCACTGGAAATGGACATATAAATGTAAACTAGCTTACCTGCTTAGAGAATTCTAACCAGTTAGCACAGCATGATGGAACACCTTGGAAAAAGCATATTCCCAGTCAGCCCACAGACCCTGCATGGGCCTTGGCTTGAGTCACAGGTAACATTTATTATAATGTTTACATCATTGCCCACTGGGTTAGCAAGAATATGGTACCCATATAACATCCCATTACTCATTACAGTCTACTACCTGATATCACAGGAGGACCTTATCCCAACTGTATGAAGAAGCAGAAAGCTGACTGGTTGCCAGGATAACCAGCACAAGGATTTTTCCAGAAATTTTCAACTATAAAGCCTGGCTTCATACCTATGCCTCTCTGTTTTGACATTTTATTATTCCTTTGGGCAGGCATGTTGTCATGCGATGCCATTCCTATCGAAGACCTTATATTATCCAACAACAGATTTAAAAATTACCAACAATTGTCAACACTCTGCATACAAAGGTGTGAATGGACCCTTAGGGCTTGTTCACACCAAAATGCACTGCGTTCCAGAGCGGTAGCTGCTGGAACGCACCGTAATCACTCAATGCACCGCCACGCCCCCTTCCGCCCCAGAAAACAGGGGAAGTTTTGCGAGGGATTGTGGTGCGTTCCAGCAGCTACCACTCTGGAACACAACGCATTCGGTGTGAACAAGCCCTTAAACATTTGACAGTTTCTATAGAACTATATCAGCAGATCAAACTGAACATCTGTGCCAGGAAATCTGTGGCACAAATATTTTTCTTTGCTCAAATACACATGAAAATAAATTAGTGTCTCTAGCATGCCATGTGATCAGTTAGATAAGACAAATCTTTCAAAATCTAGAAGCGACCACGATGCTAGCAACCATGAAGCTTTGATAGGACATATACAGGTCCAGGTCTGGGATCTGACTTTTTTACTGAAGAGGTGTCTAGATTACAAGACTAGCCCAGTATCTGATACATTCCCCTCGTAGTTCTCCTATTGACACTCCAACAGCTGAAAATGTGTGCTGTAATTGTACAGGTTGTAGGTTATTGAAAGTGCGTCACAGAACAATCCCTTGACACAATCTTTTGTAAATTTTAAAGAAAGTTGCTAAAGATTTCTAAAGGAAAGTCTCTGGAAAGGTGTGGGCAGTAAATGTAATACCTGTATGACACAGTCAGTTAAATCTGAATGTATTGTTCAGTTTCTCATTTCATACAATTACTTGCATGTTTCCAGGAGATATAATCCAATGCTACAAGTTTATAAAAATAGTTGACAAATGGCCACATATACTAGACAATTCTAGCTGAACAGCTACGACTAGAACATGCGAGTTCATAAATGTACAAAAATAAATACAATCCTAAATCCGACACATTCACACCTTGCAATTCATTTGTAGCATTTAAACGATTTCCAACTAGGGCTGGAGCTAACAATTATTTTCATAATCGATTAGTTGACCGATTTTTTTTTTTTCAACTAATCGATTGGTTGTATAAAAAAAACTCTCTATCGATGATTGTCGAAGTTGCCAACTATTCTCATAATCGATTATCGATTTAATCGATTAGTTATTGCAGTCCTATTTCCAACTTTTCTAACTAGTATTTCTTACAATCATACCTCGTCTTAACATAAGATCATAAAGTACTACAACTGATTGTGATAAAGTTGAATTTTCAGGTACCATATGATCGGATTGTAACAACTATGGGAGGTAGTAACACCTGTAACTGCAACTGTATGTCAACAGGAATATGCTCCAAACAAAGTAATCAAATTATTAAATTAGATACATTGAAACAACAAACATAACATTTTACCAGTCAGAAAAAATAATCATGAGCTGCAAGTTATTGTTTTCTTACTTTCGACATAAAAAAAAAAAAAACTGCTACATAATGTGTGGAAGACAACTTTGGCTTCCAACTTTTCTCATTAGCATTTCTTACAATCATATCTCGTCTTACCATAAGATCATAAAGTACTACAATTGATTACGATAAAGTTGAATTTTCAGGTACCATATGATTGGATTGCAACAACAAATATAACATTTTACCAGTCAGAAAAAAAAAGCATGAGCTGCAAATTATAGTCATTTTCTACTTTCGACACTAACAAACACTGCTACAAAACGTCTGACAGACCACTTTGGCTTTGTTTGTACCTTGAGCAGTCGCTCTTCTGTGAATCCTCATTTTGGGAAAGGCAGGCCAGGAATAATTAAATGGGGAATCGGAATCCGAATCCATGTTTGTGAAGAAGTACGCAGCTTTTACTACGGAGGACCCTGAAGCTCGTCCACAGAAGATGTGTAAAATAGAGGAATGAAGAGAGCTGGATCAAATTGCCCTGTCTGCCCAGGGGAGGGAGAGGCTGTAAACGTTTGCTCTCTTCAGGAGTTCAGGCATGTAGACAGATCAGGCTGTAAACATTAAATCAGATGAGGGAATGTAAGGGAGAACATGTACCAAAACCAGAGCTGCATCTCGGTCCACAACTATTTCAGAGGTCACTGGGTGTCAATGAATCATTAACTTACCGCTTCATTTCCATGCTAATGGAAAGTGCCTACACTGAAGCTGGAGTTTGTGAAGTACACTTGTAAGTAAACAGAGAGAAGGGAGCGAGTACAAAAAAAAAGACAAGAACGCAATCTTTCCACACTGCCAGTGTGCCACTACAACTGCCACTACAACTCTCAAAATATGCTTCCTTAAAGTGTATTTCCACTTTTGCAGTCAAATTTGAGAAAACCCCTCTATATGTTTATGTGTTACTATTCACAAGGCATATCTAAAAGTAACAATAAAAAAATTCTTACTTTTTAGATGCGTCTTTGCTAACCTCTCTCTCACTTTCCAAGTGACAGGAAACTCTGTCTGTCCCCATAAAAAGACTAGGGACAGACTGAGCTTCTTCTCATTAACGCCCAATGCTTCTAGATCTTTAACCCTATGTTAGGACAGACACTGTTCAAGTCTAGTTTACAACAAATAATGAGATCACAGCACAGACAAGGTTAATTATGTTAACATTAACCTGCCCAGCCCCCCCCCCCCTTGCATTCCAGAGCAAAACTCCATAAAAAGAACAACTTTTCTTTAAAGTATAACTGAAGCCAAAATGTTTTTGTTAGTTTTGGATAGAGTGGAGAGGGATAAGAACCCTGGTCAGGGTTATATTGCTGTGTCCCCGTTAGGGAGACTCTGCCTCTCTAATTGTCCTAGTTACTACTACCATTAAAGACAGTAAAAGAAAATCCCATATTTTGGGTTGTCAGCAGCACAGGAATAGATGGGGAATCTTCCTCTCCAAATGGGGACACTAGTTCTGGTGACCCTGCTGACCACCAGGGATTAATTGGAGGGATTTTCTCTCACTTTCTGTTGTGTCTATGGGAAGGGAAGTGAAGGGAAATTAAACCTCCAACCCACCCCTTAATGGGACACAGATGGTCCTATAAACAATGTATAGACATGAGGATGCAGAGAAACATTCCAATGCTGCAGTGTAGGAGGAGATCCTTCAGAGACCGGAGAACCAGGGAACCAACTCAGCAGTTTGGGCGAGTATAACTTTTATTTTAGCACTAGACAAAAACGAACAGTTAACCCTTGCAGTGCAAGGTTAATAAAAGTTTTGCCTGGAGTTCTAAGCAGCAAAATGCTAGTCAGAATACATTTATGTGAAGTAATGCTATGCAGGTAACCACGTCAAAACAGCACAGCCAAATCCTGGAATTCTCTGCGGACTACAATGCAATTAATCAATGCAGCCTGGTCTAGGATCCGCTTAATTCTGGGACTGAATAATAAAGAAGCAGAAGCATACTGATACCATCATCCCTGTGCTCTCCTGGCCTGTAAGCATGTTCACAAGATGACATGTTCAAAGCAATTTCCATCCATGGCAGACGAATCACTTTTGGGTGAACTTTCCAATCATAACAATAACAATATAATTCATGTATGCATAAAGAGTGCCTGTTGCCCATGTTCAACACTCCGCGGTGCTAAGGCGGATGAATTTATCAGATGCTGCAGGCGGGAAGGGGTAGGACACCTCTCCCTGTCTGCAGCGTCGGCCACATCAGCACCGTGGGAGGACAGGACAGCGCACATGAGAGGAGACCTGAGAAGCTGCTGCAGTGCAGATAAGGAAAGACAGCCAAGAGAGAGAAGGGGCAGCAGAGAAAGAGAAGAGAGAGAGCAGCGAGAATGAGAGAGAGAGAGCAGGAGTAGAAAGAGAGAGAGTGTGAGGAGAGAGAGAGAGAGAGAGAAGAGACAGCACAGAAAGGAGAAAGAGGGAGATACAACAGAGAGGGAGAGAGAGAGAGAGAGAGAGGGGGGAAGAGGGGGGGGA